TACAAAGATCTTGGCATCAAAGAGAAGTTCAACAACCTAGTGGTTTCCATGTTTACCAACCATGAAAAACCATGGTCCCAACCAGCCAAACTCAAAGGCCATGCAGGTGAGATCAGGCATTTGGCACCTGCTTTGGCATTGGTGGCTTGGAAGAAAGCCAATGAATGTGAGGGTTTTTTATAAAAGACAGTGCGAAGGCAAACCAGTGCTTGAAAGAAAGCGCTGCGCAATACATTTGGTTGCACAGCCATTTTGCTGATGAGGTCAGGTTCACCTGGACTCCAAAGTGCAATTTTGTAGCGCACATTGCTTTCATGACAGAATTCCAAAACCCAGCTACTTGTTGGACTTACGAGCAAGAATCTTACAAGCAAGACTTAGCCACCTTGGGCGACAGCTCCTCACATGGCACCAGAGCTGTTGGGCTCTGTGAATCTTTCATCACCAAATACACCATGGCCCTGTAACTCAGGATCAATAACATGGTGTGATGGCCTGAAAGAAAGCCAAAGGTGTCAGAAAGCCTTGCAGGAGCACGCTTGAAAGAAAGCAGTTTGTTTCACCCATCCTTGACTTGCATAGCATGCGCCCATCAGAGGATAAGTCCAAGGTAAGGGACCAATACCGACCAATATCGCAATCAATATTTTAAACAAAATGTGTCAATATTGATCAATACCATTGCCAATATTATATTGATATTGGTTTCTCAGGCTTCCAATTTTGACCATTTTCAATAATATTGAACAATATTTGGGGTCAATCGTAAGATTGATGTTTTTCAATATTGGATCCTCAGGGTCACTCTCACTATCTCACTCTCACACTCACAACTCTCACTGTCACTCACACTCACTCTCACTCACGTTCACACTCACACTCCCTCTCACTCTCTGACTCACTCTCACTCACGCTCACTCTCACTCACACTCATCATTCTCACTCCCACTCACACCCACACTCACATTCACACTCACACTCACTCACCCTCACCCTCACGCTCACTCACTCTCACTCTCACACTCACTCTCACACTCACTCCCACTCACCCCCACCCACTCTCACTCACACTCACACTCACTCTCACACTCACTCTCGCTCTCACTCACACTCACTCCCACTATCTCTCACTCGTCACTCACACTTCACACTCACTCTGAGTCACGCTCACTCTCACTCACACTCACTCTCACTCATCACTCTCACTCCCAATCACCCTCACTCTCACTCACTCTCTCACTCTCTCACTCTCTCACTCTCACTCACTCTCTCACTCACTCACTCACTCACTCACTCCCACTCTCTTGCCGGGATAGTTGATAGATACAGGTCAGGGTCTAAACATCATTTTGTTCTTTCTCCTTTTCCTTATTCTCGCCGCCTCCTCCATCCCCCTCCTCGTCCCCTTTGTCTCTTGTTCGTTGCCTCTGTAGGCTTCCCTAAGTCTCTGTGTTGCTGTGGAATTCACTGGTCTCCCTGGTCACTGTTTTGCGCTAGGTCTTTCACAACAATTTCACGAGTCCTCCAAGGTTTTGTTTGTGTCCCGCTGGACATCAGGGGTCTCCGCAGGCTTTGTTCCTGCTGGCTTTCACAGGCCTCCGAATCCGAAGGATTTATATAAGCTCAAAACATATACCAGGCTTGATGACAGAACTGGTGTCAGAATCTATGCAAGAACAAATGTAAGAGTACATTGGCAAAGCACATGTCAGGAAACACGACAGGACAAATGCCAGAACATATGCCAGGCTTGATGCCGGAACAAGTGCCAGGTCAATTGTCGGGATGGTCTGTCATGCATGTGTCCTTCTGTCTTCCTAATCACCTCTTGGAATGGGGATCACTCGAAGTAAAGTAATTCACTTTATTTCAACAACCATTATTTCTTATTTCATCTTATTTCTGTAACTTGTTGGTTTCGTCTTTGTCTTCCTTTGTCACCATTCCGCAAACAGCATCCTCTTGCTCCAGCGAAACACAAGGAGTTGCGCAGTTGTCTGCCACTGTCTCCCTTCCATTCCCTTGTTGTTGAGCTACAAGTCATGTCCACACAGTTGACATCTATTGACCATCGTTTGTCTAGAGTCTAGAGCAATATCATGGTTTTCTTGCAGTCCAGCAAATTCTGCAACGTTCAAGGGACCCTTTGGGATGAAGGTGCTGGACCACCAAAATGGTAGAATTTCTTTGACCCGTATGCAAAAGAGGCTTTGGCCCACACCAATCTGTTTTCAGTCACCGATGTGTGCTGTCGCAGCTTGGCCTGAGTCTGAGGGCTCTCGAGCAAACGGAGCCTGCGGTCTGCACTTTCCTGCAGCTCCTGCGTACATGTTCAGTGGAAATTTGCAATTACAATCAATTACAATACTGTGCCTTCTTACAGACTGCCAAAAGCACTTTATGGCCTCAGGTTAAACAAACATAATTTGGCGAGCGTTAGCCAAGAGTCCAAGAGTGGTCCTCAACATCATTTAGACGTTCTGCCAGCTTTTCTAGTTCACTGCGAGAAGGATGACTTTCCTGCGTAAAGTGAACATCAATTAGAAGATTGTTGCCTAAAGAAGGTTGTTGGAGCTTTTAGACAATCAAACCCGCTTTCACTTTCTTTGGAGCCGTGGCGGAATCTGGCAGCTGCACGGCTGCACGAGTGGATACCTCAAAATTAAAGTGGAGCACCAAAAGCGCGACTTAGAGACTAGAGACTTAGAGCAAGTGGCTACTAGGAGCAAGGACGCTACCAGGGGCTCCTGGCCTTGCTACTAGGAGCAAGGGCATCGCTACTAGGAACAGTTCTTCAATAGGTTGTGCGATTGATCATCTTTCCAGCTTGACGCCTTCGACTGTCTGTCAGTTCTGACTCCCGAAGAACCTTTATATCCCACCAGGTTTCCCTTCATGCCTGGGCCAAAGGTGCAGCAAATTCTTTGAGCGTAGCATCTTCAGTGACTTCAGTCTGTAACTCTGATGCTCTCGTCTCAGTTTGCTTCTCTTTCAGCTCCTTTCCGTGATCATGATCCTCCTTCTGGTCCTGCACTTGATCATTTCCATGCGCCGTCTGCAAGGACCTTACCATTGCCTCCAACTGAGGGACGCTGTTGTTGAGCCTTTCCTCAAGTGTGCAGTGAGCCCTCTCAAGCCTTTGAACAAATGCCTCCAACTGACCAATTCGATCGGACAGCTTGGGGTAACTGTCTATCGGGTTCACGGCCGGTTGAGCCTGCTGGCTTGTCCGTGAGTTGTGGCCTATAGCTGTGCAATTCTGGGCTTGCTGTTCACCAATTGATTGTTCGTCCTCAGCGACACGTCTTTCCTCAACTAGAGTTTCAGGTGCCTTTGTTGCAGCTGTTGGCTGCGTGGATCCATCTTGCTTCTGCGTTGTCTGCAAAAACTTCAAGTCCATCGACAGGCTCGAAATCTCACATTGTAGGGAGGCAATCATTTCTTTGTTCATCTGCTCGGATTCTGCGTGGTGTTTCAGCATCTGCTCAGCTATGGTGCGGGCCTCTTGAGAAGCGGCTTGTATAGCCTCTTTCACAATATAATCCCCTGCAGGTGTTGCTCCTGCAACCACTTGCGCCGCCTCTGTTGAACTCTGCTGCCTCTCTTCTGCAAGGATTTGGGCATCTTCCGACTGCCTCCGCTCTCGTGCACGCAAACCTCCTGTCGTTTCCGTCGGAGGCTGAGCTGAAGATTGGGCGCCGTTCCTGGGATCTGCAGTATCTTTGATATTTTCTTCTGCCCGAACTTCAAGAGTTGACTGCACCTTAATGCGCAAAAGGGTTTCCAACATGTTTTGTTTCTTTTGGCTGTCCAAAACACAAGCCTTGGGTAAAGTGAAATCAACAACACAACCAGGTACTGTATATATTACAAAAACTGAATTACACTTGCAAAACAACTTCAGGTCATTTACAGCATGTGGGCAATGAGATCGGTTGGAACTTGAGGGCAAATAACTACATGCTAGGGATCCGGTCCCCTCCGATGTGAGCTGATTGCAATTATAGATATAGAAAATGGTTTCATGTGTTTGAGGCGCGTGGCCGTTTAATGACAGGTGAACAAGCAAGCTGATTGTCAACATGTTGAACAAAACCTCTCAATGAATTTGGCCTTAGTATCTTTCTTTGCAACTTTAATGACCCGAGGTTGAAAGGAAATGACAGTCAAATGCGTTAATAAACACGAATAGGAAAATGTGAGCGAGGAGAGCTGACAACAGAAGTGAAGGCGGTAAAGGTGAAGTGGAAAATAATGGAAACGAGACAAACCAAACATCTTCACATCTAAGGGTTGGCTTTAAGGCATGGAACAATTTTGAGTACCCATTAAAGGAACTACCCATTACAGTAAACAATCTCATGTCTGAGACCCCTAAACACAGTTTATCCAAGTTATATTTGTTTTACTGTGCGGCTGTGGACGGTGGCTGTGGTAGCGGTTGCCGTTGTAGTTGTGTGTTGTCGTCGTCGTCGTTGTGATGGTGGTGGGGTGGTGGTGGTAATGGTGGTTGCGGCGGTTGTGGTTGCGGTTGTGTGCGTTTGTGTGTGGGTAGTGGTGGTTGCGGTTGCGGTGGTTCTGGTTGCGTGCTGTGGTTGTGGTTCTGTGTTGTGGTTGTGTGTTGTTGTGGTGGTCGTGGTTGTGGTTGCTGGTTGCGGCGGTTACGGTTGTGGTGGCTGTGGTTGTGGTGGTTTTGGTTGTGAATCCAGTCTTGGATGCGACGCACTGCATTACGTGTGAAAACGCAAGCGCGCGCACTGCAGAAGGCATCTTTGAGCACACGAGAAGTGGCGGTTGTGAAGCTTGCTGGGATGTTTTGGTTCGGGATGATCTCGATCTCGCAGCGACTGCTAAACTACAGCGCGCGATTGCGAAACCAGGAGGCTTGCGACTTCAGCCCCTGCCGGACGTGCTGGGTGAACCCTTCCTTGGTCTTGCCGAGAGGCATCGGTCTGCGTGCTTCGCTGTGGACCGCGCAGACAGCCGGGGAATATGCCTGTCGTTGTGAGCCGTGAAACAGCTGCTACCGCGCAGGACTCTTTGCACTAGTCGGTGACGCATCGACTGTGCTCTTGGACTTGGACGCCTATAGGTCAAATTCTTTTTATAGGAAACTTCCGCCGCCGGCTTGCCCGGGAACTGCTTGTACAGATGAGCTTTCCAGTGTTCTTGAAACCTCTTGTTTTTGCACTTCGCATGTTGAAGGCGTTCAGACGTTGAGGGCGAGACCTTGTTGTCGCAGATAGTTGCCAAGGCAATGGTTTGGTTATATAGTTGTTGGTTGTTGGTAGGTGGTCGTTGTCTGTTGTGGCCTGTAGTCTTGCTAGTTCATCGGATCTTCGGGGGGTCGGCGAAGAAAAAGATTGTAGTCTTTTTGTTGGTATTGCTTATTTGTTGCTATTTGCCGACCCGCCCTAGAGGCAATTCCTGTGGGGCATCAAGCTCCCACAGGTCACAGGGTAGATGGCTTCTCCTCCTCGCCAGATCACAGTGGGCGCTACCAATCTCAATCGGCAGTTCGAGTGGGCGCTACCGACTACCGGACCAGTGGGCGCAACCACAACCACCACAACTCTGCAACCAAACAACAACGACGACAAGGACAACCACAACCACGGCCGCCACCACTACCACCACCACTATACCACCACCACAGCCACAACAACAACTAACGAACTCTGCACTTCGAGGTTCACCAACGCGGTGTGCCTGCCACGAAATCTGCACTTCGAGGTCGAGGTTCACAAAGTGCTGCCCCTGCCACGAAACCTGCACTTCGAGGTTCACTGTGCCTGCCACGAAATCTGCACTTCGAGGTTTGCAAGTGCTGTACCTGCCACGAAATCTGCACTTCGACGTCCACCCAGTGCTGTGACTGCCACGAAATCTGCAAACGAGCCGCATGTCCAAAAGTCACGATTCACTGCGCCTGTCACGAAATCTGAGCTCCTCGACGATCACCACCATGTCCAAAGTGTTGCACCTGCCACGAAAACTGCGAAGTAAAACAGCTCCGATCCCTTGCACCTGTCACGAAAAGTCGACCTCGAAGAACCAAAGCACGAGGTTTCCCCTGCACCTGCCACGAAATGTGACCGCCGTGCGCGAAAATGCGCACGGCGCCATAACGAGAGCGCAATCGTTAGAAGTACCCACCTCGGGGCTCCCAGACTGTGTGAGCCTGCGCAGTCGAAATGCATAAGACACAGGTGAAGACACTAGTTGCAATGGAGGGACGATTCGAGCATGATCCGAGCATGACGCGAGGCCATTCCGCAACCGTCGTTCCGCAGTATAGCCTTGCCAGGCCAGGTTCGGAACAACCCTTTGTATTGAAAAACACAGCATTTCGTGCGTCCGCTATCTCTCGAAAATGCATTTTGTACGAGACTTCCTTCCAAAGTGCACGTTGAAGAGCTGATGGCTGGAGTTAGAGCTAACTAAAGCTAGAGCTGACTGGAGGAGTAGTAGTAGTAGTAGTAGTAGTAGTAGTAGTAGTAGTAGTGGTAGTAGTGGTAGTAGTAGTCGTCGTCGTGGTGGTGGTGGTGTATGTTGTATGTCGTAGTAATAGCTTTTGAAAGTCCGTAACATGGAAGTTTTGCACACTAAACTTCCTTTGATAACGTCCTTTTCTCCAAAAAAAGGGGAGAGAACTCAACAACTTAGGGTGTGTGCATTGGCTTATATTCAATTTTGCGTACTTTCTTGACATCCTTTCAATATTGCTGCTCCTAATTACTTTGATTTGACTTGCTTCTGCCTCCGAAGTGAAGTTGAATCAACCGGCCAGCGCCCATTCAGAATCAACAGAATCAGAAACGCATTCCAAGGGCACATGGTCAAACTGAGCAGCCAAATCAGTCAGTTGCCTCGCGGTTATGTCCAAAAAAATGTTTCGTCCCCAGTTGATGTCCAAGCATTCAACTTCTCACAGGCTTGACGCCTTATATGACCCGAATCATACCGCTATTTCAACCATGATTTGTGGAAGCGATTGAATTGCCATGAGGACGTGGGGCTCACGTGCCTTCCTAATGCTTCTAGCTGGCTGCCCACCCTCGATTCCAAGGCAACCAGGTCGCCCTTGGTCCAAAGCACTGCAAAAGAGTCATGCCCTGCGTATCGCAAAGTGTCTACACAGTGACAGTCACCAGAATCTTTGCACCGCTTGCTCCCTCAAACTGAAAGACTGAAAGTTATTCGAATCTGGTATGTTCCTGACAAACGAAGGAGCTGGAGCTGGATTGGCAAGGAGATGACCAGCTTGTTCTGGCCTCACTTGCGGAAATGCCGGTTGGTGCAAAACACTTCGCGGAAACTCATCAGAATCGGGAGTCCGCAGTGGCATCTTTCTACTCGGCTGTGGTGAAGCAATCAATGCGCACGCTTCGATGATTAGACGTGATAAAGACTGATTGCGCTGCGGTGCTGCATGTTTACTGTTTCGACGCTTGAACGCAGAAAAACGAGTGTTGGCACTGCCCATGATTGCGCGAATCGCCATCCTACGCTTCCCTTTACACAACAGTATAGTGAACGCAGAAACTGTCAGTCCAGGCATTCACATCTTCGGATCTTCGACCAAGGTTTGACCAGGGGCCAGCTGAGTTCTTTTAGGGCAAATTCCCCACTCAAAACACAATGTGGCAGCCCCAAAACATGCTAGACATTATCCCGGCAAGAGACCCCAAGGTGATGGCGGTGATGAAGGTGGGATCGTGGCGACGGCGGCGATGGTGGTGAGTGAGTGAGTGAGGTGAGGTGAGGTGAGGTGAGGTGAGGTGAGGTGAGGTGAGGTGAAGTGAAGCGCAGCGCAGCGCAGCGCAGTGCAGTGCAGTGAAGTGAAGTGAAGTGAAGTGAGTGTGAGTGAGTGAGTGAGTGAGAGTGAGTGAGAGTGAGTGAGAGTGAGTGAGAGTGAGTGAGAGTGAGTGAGAGTGAGTGAGAGTGACTGAGAGTGAGTGAGAGTGAGAGTGAGTGAGAGTGAGCGAGAGTGAGTGAGAGTGAGTGAGAGTGAGTGAGTGTGAGTGAGAGTGAGTGAGGTGTGCGTGAGAGCGAGTGTGGGTGAGTGAGTGAGAGTGAGCGAGAGTGAGTGAGAGCGAGTGAGAGTGAGTGAGAGTGAGTGAGAGCGAGTGAGGTGTGCGTGAGAGTGAGTGTGGGTGAGAGTGAGTGTGAGTGAGAGTAAGTGTGGGCGAGAGTGAGTGTGAGTGAGAGTGAAGGTGGGTGAGTGAGTGTGAGTGAGAGTGAGTGTGAGTGTGAGTGAAGGTGGGTGAGTGAGTGTGGGTGAGAGTGAGAGTGACAGTGAGCGAGGGTGAGAGTGGGAGGCAGAGTGAGTGTGAGTGAGTGTGAGTGTGAGTGAGTGTGTGTGTGTGTGAGTGTGTGTGAGTGTGTGAGCGAGAGTGAGAGTGAGAGTGTGGATGAGAGTGAGTGTGCAGTGAGTGAGTGTGTGAGTGCGAGTGTGAGTGAGAGTGAGCGTGCGGCGTGGGTGAGCATCTGAGAGCACAAAGTGCTGCGCCTGCTACGAAATCTTCACATCGAGGCTCACAAAGCGCCGTACCTGCCACGAAATCTGCACTTCGAGGTTCACAAAGCGCTGCGCCTGCCACGAAATCCGCACTTCGAGGTTCACCAAGCGCTGCGCCTGCCACGAAATCTGCACTTCGAGGTTCACCGTGAGCGAGAGTGAGAGTGAGAGTGTGGATGAGAGTGAGTGTGAGTGAGTGTCAGTGCGAGTGTGAGTGAGAGTGAGCGTGCGGCGTGGGTGAGCATCTGAGAGCACGAAGTGCTGTGCCTGCTACGAAATCTTCACATCGAGGTTCACAAAGCGCCGTACCTGCCACGAAATCTGCACTTCGAGGTTCACAAAGCGCTGCGCCTGCCACGAAATGCGCACTTCGAGGTTCACCAAGCGCTGTGCCTGCCACGAAATCTGCGCTTCGAGGTTCACCATGCAAGCGCTGCGCCTGCCACGAAATCTGCACTTCAAGGTTCACCAAGCGCTGTGCCTGCCACGAAATCTGCACATCGAGGCTCACAAAGTGCTGCGCCTGTCACGAACTCTGCGCATCGAGGTCCACAAAGTGCTGTGCCTGCCACGAAATCTGCGCATCAAGATTCACACAGTGCTGTACCTGTCACAAAATCTGCACGTCGAGTTTCACGAAGCGCTCCGCCTGCCACGAAATCTGCACATCGAGGTCACTCACCAGAAAAATTCAATCACCTAGATCAGAGAAGGATTAGATCAGAGCAGGGTCGCATGAAAGTTTATGTTTTTTTACTTTTTTGCGTTTTTCACATGTTTTTATCAATTTTCCACATTGTTGATCATATTTTCACATTTTAAAACATTTTTCCACATTTTTCACATTTATTTTTCATTTTATTTTTTGTTTTAAAAAAAGTTACTATTTTGGGGGAAAACACCTCAAACACAACATGGTTAATCAAATTGTGTTTCTTGGGGAGAAGTTATCCTAACAGCTGAACACAACTGACTGCAGCAGTCATATCACGCTCCAGTTTGCATGTGAAATTATGTTTTTGCATCTTTTTGCATATTTTTGCATATTTTCTCATGTTTCGACATTTTTCGAGATATTTCGAGATTTTTCGAGATTTTTTTGAGATTTTGAGTTGTTAAAATGAATTTTCCTTTTATCCCCTCGAGATTTTATGAGATGTTTCGAGATTTTTTGAGATTTATCGAAATTTTTTGAGATTTTTCGAGATTTTTTGAAATTTTTTGAGTTGATTGTTGCTAAGATTTTCATTTACAACATTTTTTGCATTTTTTTGCATTTTAAATCTCTTATCGAGATTTTAAATCTCTTTGGAAAGTCTTCCATTTCAAAACCTCTCCGGCGCAGGGTATTGAATTTTTTTGGTGAGTCACATGAATGCTGTGCCTGCCACGAAATTTGCAAACGAACCACATGTCCAAAAGTCGTGCGCGTTTCATTGCAAAAAGTGCTGCGCCCGCCACGAAAACTGCAGATCCCTTGCCTGCCACGAAAAGTGACCATCATATGTCACACTATATGGCTGTGGCTATTTGTAACTAACTTGTAGATGTTATAACTTAGTTATCGAACTTATGCATAAGTGGACTTGTAGGAGTTAAAACCTAGGTTATAAGTCGGACTTAAGTAGACCTTGGTTTTTCCAATCAAATGTTTTTTTATTCGTTTATTTTTGCACAAGAACTCTCTTTTTTTCGACTCGCGAAACGTGTTCAGTGCAAACATAGGAGGAGATTCTTGTCATCATGCCAGCGCCACCACATTGCTACGCAATATGTGCTGTTGATCTTGGGTTTATACCAAGATCTGCAATGCAGTCTGCGCCACAGACTGCCATAAGGTAAGGAGGAAACATATTCAAACATTTTGAGTTCCAGGTGTATAGCGGTAGAGTCACCTTCCACAATGTTCTCAATCTGGCCAGCTGACTCACCTTCCCAAAGCAACACATCTGCCACGCGCAGTCTCCTTGAGACCAAATGACATTTTGTGCTTGCTTGCTCCCGTGCTGCGGAACAAAGCAACTCAAAAAAGCAACCAGAAGCTGCGCTTGCGTTTGCTCCGCCTACATTCGCCTACATTTCGCCTACATTGTCTGTATGTTTACTTTAGTTGCGCCTACATCTAAAAAGCTTGATTTTCTAGATTCCTCGCCTACATTCCGCCTACATTCCCCCAACCCTCCGGAGCACGCACTTTTCTTTTGTGCCCTGGCCATGGAAAGAGGTCTGTTTCGGCAGTACAGCTACGCCGATCTATCCGATGTGGATATGGATAGCTCGGCCGCGACCCTCATCCTTTCGAAGTTCAGAAAATAATTCCACCAAGAAAAGTTCAGAAAAGTTCAAACAAGTTCAGACCTCATCCACTTTGTGCAGGCACAAATGCCTTGTACCTGCTCCGTTCGCAAGTGTCCTGTCGCCCCATCAAGTCTGTCCACCAAGACTTGAAGGATTTGACAGAGCTGCAGATTGGCCATAGTTCGAACGGACAAAACCTATCTCACCTTTCGCCGTTCATATATAGGCGCGCAACGGGTCCCTTGAGCCATATAAATTAGAAAACATAATCAACTCAAAAAGTTCCAAAAAAATTGGTCTTAAGTTCAACCTAATTCGAACCTAAGTTAACCTTAACTAGGAACTAAGTAGAAGCACAAGTCCAATAAGTTAGTTATAAGATCACCAAATTAGTTATAAGTAGAAGCGAATACTTAGCGTACTTATTGAACTTATAACCTAGGTTATCGAACTTATAACCTAAGTTATAACTCCAACAAGTAGCCACAGCCATATAGTATGCAAACATGCGTGCGGTGCGACAACAAGAGCGCAGTCGTTAGAAGCACCCGCCGCAGACACCCAGATTCAGCGAGCCTGCGCAGTCGAAATGCACTTCGAGGCTTTCGAGAGGCTATAAATAGCAACGATTTGGCCGTTCACGCCCGCGCGCTTCAGCGATCTAAGCATCAGCTGCTTTTCACCTACCGTAAGAACCCCTAGTGTGTCCACACTGCTTGGTGGAAAAAAGTACATCCAGTGCTGCGCATGCATGACGAGCGCCACCGTTGCGAAAATTGCAAAACATCATCGTTCAAAGGCTGAACCAGTGCTTTATCTGACTCCTGAACAACTGCTGTACGCATGTCTTCGCCCTGACTACTTGGCATCATGCCCTGCCATTCCGTCAGTTTGGTCCTACAGAACACAACATACACAAATTTGGAAAACTAGATCAGCACGGCGTTGGGGTCCTCTGTGTCCTCGGCTGCTACGCTTGACGCCGACGAAGGGTGAAGCAAGCCCGGCGCTTGTTGAGCTTGCGCCTGCGAATCAAAGGAACTGTCCCAAGTTATACTTTGCAGCGGTTTACAAAACTCAGCTTTGTGCTCCGCTGTCTGGCGCGTCAGCCCTCTGGCTGGGCACCTCAGCGCGACTGCGGCCATTGTTTAGGCAGGAATGATTGAGATGAAACCCGAAACAAGTCAACAAATTAAATATTCTTGGACAAACGTCAAAGGTCCCGCCGGGGTTGTCCCGAAGCCTGGAGCGCCTACTTGACGCTTTATTTGAGAGCTGTGTAATCTAATCTGAGGCTCTTCATGGCTCTTCAAAAAATTGTCAGCGTCCTCTCGTAATCTGCGCGCAACCTTCTCCAAGCTCTGTCTGATAAAAGTTTTTGCGTCTTCAGCGCAAGCTCTGAACCTCCCGTCTTTGTGTTTGCGCACTGAAAGTTTGATTTTCGAGCATTTCAGGCCATCTCTTCGAGTGAAGGGCGAAGAATGCAAAGCAATCCACAAAAAATATCTGCGAGGATCTACACTGATCTACACTGGTTACCGAACAATGTTCTTTGTGACCTGTGCAATTTCCAGGTTTGACCATGTTCTCGCGCTGCTTGAGTCTGTTTCAACTTCCTGGGTTGCTCACCCGCTTCTGTTTGCCTGTCCTACAGAACACGTCTCACAGTAGAGCAGAAGGATGTGAAAGCAAACAAGTGGTAAACTATTATGAATTTCAGGCGCCACGGACCACGCTACGGTGTGAAAAACACGCGCGCTGAAATCAAAACACGCGGCAGTCCTGTTTCGGCTAGGCCTCAATGTTCCTTCTGGACATTGGGAAGCTCGATCTCTTTCCCAAATCTGCATATTCCTTCCACCTGTCATCTTTCCTTGCGGGGTCTGTCAGGCGCTCAAGCTCATCTCTTGCTTCTTGCTGCCGTGACTTGTTGCGGCGTGACTTCTTCACCTTTGCTTCCTCTCAACAACTCCAATGCGATGACCGTTGCAACTTTTGCACCTGCCCTTGAAAGATTTGCCCACCTCCCTGACTTCCTTTTGCGCCGCTATGCCATTGTACTCTTCACGACCTATCTTCTCGTCATTCCCATTCACCATCTTCACGGGAAACTTGACTCCTTCGAGATGCGCCCTGCTGTATGTAGGTCTTCCTCTGATTGCTTTGTCTGCCGTCTTCTCTGTGCCTGCTTCCAACTCGCGTTGCCAGAGCTCTTGCCGCTGATCAACCACTTCGACGCACCAACATGGCCTTCTGCAATGAATTTCAACTGTGTTTTTGTCACTTCTCACCTCAACTCAAGTCAATGCTAATGCTTTTCTGACAACGCACATAGCTCTCCATCATGTTGCCCTTCAAGAAGACCTGAGCCGACGACACTGAATGCGTCGTGGATTGCTGTCCAGCATAGTCTGCATCAGAGATCACTTCAGTGAGACTTGTCTTTCCTTCATCTCCCCATTCATTTTGCTCCTCACCTCCCTCAACAACCATTCAGCATGCTTCGACCCTTGGAACCTTGTTCTAGCAAAATGCCTTCTCCAATTGTCCCCGACAAGTATGAGCTCACACCCTTCATGTACTTCCATCCAGCTTTGGTCAGCCTCTGCATCAATGCAGCCAATCCCTGCGATACAAACTGGACATCTGGCCTGTCAGGAGCAATGCGCAACAGCTTCCGACTGCGCTCCGCAAGGTCGTCACTCCACTGTCATCCACGGGTTCATCACTTTGTGACTTGTGGTCCGTGGGCGTGTTCCTCGACGTGAGCTTCTCCACATGTGTGAGCTTTGCCAACTCCTTGATGCGATCACTATCGGCTCGAACTGTGATTCCAGCTTCTGTGACTTCCATCTGCCTCTTAAGGTACTGAAATGCACCTTGCCGAATAGGACCTTTCTCCCCCAATGTCCACTGCTTCTTCTCCAGAAAGGCTACAAACAATGCAACTTCTGTCGGATCTCCAACAATCATCAGGTCGTCCATGTGGATGGCTCCCACAACTTCACAACTTCTGTCTCTTTCTTCATAAGCGTGGGTTGCATCTTGTCCATCGCCACGCCATATTCTTTGGCTGCTTTGCAAAGGCCATGCAACCATTGCCCTGCAGCATTTCTTTGACCGGGCAAGGTCCATCGAAGTCGATACTTGCGTGAGGTGTCACCACAAGCGCTTTCTCGTCTTTTGGCTGTTCCATCCCAACAGGAATGCATCCTTCACATCCAGCACATACAGACTCAAGCCTGTCATCAACATGTATTGTAAAAGCAACCTCAGTGACTGATGCTGATTTAGGAGCACATGCATCATCTGTGAACGCACTCCACTTGTACTGTCTTGCAACCAGTCGGGCACGCCTAAGCCATCCACCTTGCTCTTCTCTGTTCTTCCATGCGACCAACATTTTGGTTGTCAAGGTCAAGGTATAGGCTTCTGGATCTTCCGGCTCATCAGGGCTGGTGTGCTCCAACGCTTCCATCTTCATCTTCACAAGTCTCTCCTCCTCATGAGTTTCAGGGGCTGGCATTGGCGTGAAATACACTGGGTTCACGCCGTATAGTCCAAATGCCGCTCCTGCGCCTGCTTTCCTCCAACACCTCTTCATTCCCTTCTGCTCCATCCTTAGTTTCTGCCACTATTGTCTTTGCTGCACCTTGAACACGGTATTGCCAAGGAACACCTCGAGCTGTGACCAACATATTCCCATCGAACTGCTGTGGAAGACTTCGAATGCTGCTGGCCTAAACTGCGCCGCTTCTGGTAGCATAATGTGGCTGTCTGGCCACGATGACTTCCCAACCCGTATACTATATTCCTTGCCGAATATGGGCTCTCCTTTCCACTTGGCTCTCACGGTGTCCTTGTACAACGCTGAAGATCACGACCTTAATTGCCGTCGTACCGTCGATCATGCGTCACCTCAAAACTAGTGGCTCCGTTGATGACCCTATAGCGTGTTATCAGCCATGCGAAGCTCCAGACGTGGTGTTGTCCAGTTCCTCCACGAAGCACCTCCACGTGTTTGGCAACTTTCTGATCCACGGTCTTCTCAGCTTGTCCGTTGGATGCAAGTTGCCCTGTTGCTCTTGCACGTTGCACTGTGCGCATCACTTGTTTTGTGGCTGGCTCACCATCTGCCTAGAGACTAGAGAAACACTGGATTGGCGCTTCCCACAGCCCTTGTGAACCTCAACAACAGTGAAGCGCTTCTTGGCAATCGCTGGAACGCACATCGCTGCCTTTGTCTCAGCTCTCCGAGTCAGCAACGTAGAGCGCCTTTTCAAGCTGCTTCCTCACCTGAGCCTGCGCTCGGCATGTGTAGGTGAAGCCACAGTCAAATGCAATGATCTGTCCTCCATCCTCCTGTATCTTGACGATCTCCTCGACTCTCATTGGGTTCTGGCGTCCTCTCGAGCTCTGTTCATGACGCACTGGAGACACCAATCCTGATATGGCAAGTTGGTGTCTCTTGCTCATGTCTGGTGGGCAGCTTTGGTGTCTTGATGGGAATGGGTTCCCTTCTGCCCTCATAGGCAGTGCTCCTCATTGCGATCGTACTTCTGCAGCCTTGCTATCTGCACTTCAACTTCTTGTGACCTGCAAACAATACCTCTTCTATTACTTCTGGCTGCTCTCCACCTTCCGCTGAAAGAACAGGAATTCTCCTCCTTCTCTGCCAACTTCTTCGTCTTTTGGCCATGACGCAGGCTCACCGTCCAACAATGGATATTGGCTGACTGGCGCCTCACAGTCTGGACCAAGATAATCTCGAATTCTGCTCGTAGCCATAAAGGTCAACATCTTCCTTGGCCATAGTCCTTGGTTTGTTGTGGGCGCATTCCTGGAGTCCACCAATGATTCAAGCTGCTGCCAGTGACTGCCTTGGCTCCTTGACGGCCCTTCACCAATGTCATACGGGCTGTCCACTCAGCTCCAAATGAATCTCTGGCGTCTTTGGAGTACTTGGGAGCGCGCAACGATTCCATTCAGGAGGACACGCCAACCTGGCTCAAGCGTGGCCAGGTCTCTTGAGATAAATCTGGGCTCGTTCTGGCAGGCGTGGGAACTCTTTCAGCGAGTTGGCAGCGCTGTCCACCTTACTCGCTTCTGCGCTGACCCAGCTCAATGGGCTCTTGCATCACGGGCTTCAACCTCTTCTTCCAGCTGGCCAACCTTCTGCGTCTTTCCATCGCTGCTCTCGTCTTCTGAAGTACTGCAGGTGTGATGTCTCCTTTTGGTGATATGTCTGCGTGTTCTGTCTATCTCTGGACTTTCTTCTTCCTTTCCTTTTCCTTCTTCGTCTTTGTCTCCACGGTTCTCTTCTCATCTGAACTCTTCTCTGGGCTTTCTTCTTTCTCCTTTTCTTCTTGATCTTTCTTTTCTCCTCTTACCTCTGTTTCTTCTGGGGGCGCTTCATAGCACTCTTCGATGACGACAGCATCATCCTCTGGACGACTGCGCGCACCTCCACATCCATAACCAGCGAGTTCCTCTCGAGCCTGGCTGGTATCTGAAGATTTCGTTCATGGCGTCAAGAAAAAGTAGGTCATCGCGATCTCTCGCCCACATATAACAAAAGGATGTGTACCCCCTTGGCCACGAGCAAATTTCTCTACAAATTCCACGTTGCTTCCATCTTTGGCTGTAGCAATCAACCAATTGCCGTCCCAATGAATTCGTTCACCTGGAGTGTCCATCATGCGCATTGGCCTTGATGTTCCTGGGGCTCCAAGATCATAGAACTCCTTTGGCGCAACACTCACGTCCGCTCCGGAGTCCAGTGCCGTGATCATGAGGGCCCTGTACTGTGCAACCTTCCTCTTCCTTCTCTTCTTCTGCGGGACAGTCGGTCAAGTCAAAGGTACTGCAACCTGTACTTCCCCTTCTCATCAAACACCTGATGGCCAACAAGCTCAGCTTCCTCGTCACCCTCCATTCGTCCTCGTCGCCCTCCATGAGGTCTCTCACTTGGCGAGACGGCGTGGTCGTAGTGGATGCCAAAGAACTCGACGAGCTCTTCTCTGATGTCACATCATCCTCAACACGCTGAACTCCCTTGGACAAACACTCTCGTGCGGAGTGACTCATTTCCCACAGTTGTGGCAGGGCCCTGAAGGCCCCTTTCCCTTCTTTCCTGTTGTCTTCCACTCATCTTGCCTTTTCCTTTCTTTCCATCCTTGGGCCAGGATTGCTTGCCCTTCAAACCTTTTCCTTTCTGTCCCTTCTTCCTTTTGCCTTTCCCTTTCTTCCCTTCTTTGCCGGACCAAACCACGTCAACCCCCAGTGGCGCTGATGTGTCGTTCATGTCAACACCTCCTGGCTTGACAGCCAACTGCGCACTTCATAGCAAGCTGCTCGAACATCTCTACTCAACTGGTGTCACCCTGAAGGGCCATCTGCGCATGAACTCGAGCGGAGTGAAGGAGGGCTGCCACAGCTGCTGCTAACTTCAAAATCTTCAGGGTATGTCACATTTGCTGCCCGCTCATACTCTCTTACCATCAACCTCTATTGAGGTAGCTGTTCTGTCATTGTCTTGTTCCGCGTGAACATCACGCATCGTCTTCACCTTTCAATCCTAGCAGTGCCCCAAATACTAAGCCAAGCTGAAATGCACACCATTTAGGTCCACATGGTCACATGATTCTGCACAGGAACACATTTCGTTTCTGCAGGGTACAATTCCTCTTCCATCTCTTCGAGGGATTTTCTGCCAGCAAGATCAACTCTTCTATGATTCTATGCAAATGTGTATTGTAAATATGTATATATATATATATAGTTAAAGATAGGTACTACTTCAAATACAAATTTGATATACAGTAACTGAGAAGGGAGGGGACGAAAGCCAGCCTTTGTAGACATGGAATAGTCTTTCAACGTGTTTTCTTTACAGCTGCTCGCCGCGTAACTTTGACAAGACAAAACGATCAAACAGGGCACCACCGCACATGGCCTTGTCGTTGAGTCCTTCACTTATGGTGCCTTTCGGCCCACCCCCTCTTGCTTGCTGAAGTCATCAGGCGTGAACATGTTCGATTGCGACATGCCAACTCCACATACGAAGAAACAAGGGGCTTGTGAACAGGCATGTTCCTTCGACACACCCGTCGGACGCGCCGCAGTAGATTGTCTTTACAGCAAGGCAAAAATAGTCTTTCAACATCTTTCAACTTGTTTTCTTTGCAGCTGCTTGGGAAGGCCCAGCTAGATCCCAGAAGATAGCACTCTGTTGCGGGCGCCCTTTCTTTTTCTCCCCAACTTAGCCAAAGCGATCAAAAAGGGCACCGCCTGACATGGCCTTTTCGTTGAGTCCGTTACTTACGGTGCGTTTCTTCTACGCACTCACTGCTGCCAGTATGAGACACGCCTGCTTGTCTCTGCAGCGGGGCCGTACAGAAAAGGGTAGCAGCCGTGCGTCCATGTTTTCCGGGGCCACACACACGTTTTCAGGCCACTTAAATGGTATCCTGGCCACTTTGCGATGATAATGTTTTATTGTTAAACAATATTGAACCTGTTTGGGAAACTTTTTGGCAAGGCATCACTCCCATCACCAAGGCCCTTGTGAACGTGCATTTTGACCACACTTTGGCAACCCCTTTTGTTCGCTCTCCCCCACCAGGCTCTGGCAACCGCCCCTAATACGCACTTCGTTCGAAAATCAAGCACTCCAGCCTCGCCAATCAGCTACCTTTCGCAATTTATGCAAAATACGTGCGCAATTGCAGGGACCCGCAGGAGAGCAACAAACCGTGGGAAACTGTGAGCCAACCTATCACCTGCAATTGGGCCCAATGAGATTTAGCAAACTTCAATTTTAGGGATTGAGGCTACGGCTGCTGCTGTCGCAGGCTGCAAAGAGAGTTGAGCTTCCAGGGCTGATAGCCTGCCGCTTCAATCTATCTTGGTGTCATCTGTGTTCGGCTGACTACCGAGCCTTGCCGAGACATTCTCATCTATTCGTCCCAGCTGAGCACAAAGGCTGTCCTGGCACGCTGAAGTCTTCATTTCTTACGGAAGGGCCGTCAGTCAACCAGCACTGGCTGGAAGCCCAACATCCGGCTTTCAAAAGCAACATCTCTGAAACTCTCCTGTCGCTACCATTGGTTTATGATGGTTTGATTCTGAACCTGAGTGCCTGGCTGTTGCCTCAGCAAGCTCTTTCTGCAGGCACTCATGTGAATCCCGCTGCTTGTCCGACAAGGTGCTGAAAAACTGACCTTGCACCTGGAATCATTCTGTCGCAATAGTTGCAGTTGGCATGCTGAATATTTAATTTGGATTCTTTGAGCAAGCCATGGTCCATGGTGCAAAACAAGTCCGCGTAAGGTATGGCGTGAATCTGGAGTGGACATCTTCAACGCAAATTGAAAAAGCAATTCAGATCAACTCAGTCTGCCTCTCCCATCACTCGATCTCGTAAGCGCTCCAAATCACTCGCTCGCGGAAGAGCACTGACCTCACAGTCACCAGCTCTGCTTGGAACCCGCTCACTCAAGACCCTTGAAAGAAATGAATGATCCAATCTTGCTTTTCAGTCAGTTTGTTGCTGTGGTGGTAGGTTGTGAGTGGTGGGCGGTGAGTTGTTGGTGGTGGTCAGTGTGGTGGTCATCGTCTGCGCGCGTTTGTCATTGCTACGGTATTGTTAGCGCAAGCGGCTTGCCATCAGTCTTGTCATCGTGGCTGGTTGCATATTTATTCAGATTCTGTTGCTTGATGCTCGTCATTGTGATGTGCCATTGCTGTAGTCACTCGTTCTTGTATTGCCCCTTTCCCATTGCCCTTGCAAATTGTTGTCATTCGTGATGCCTTTGTGGATTGTTAGAATTCCAATTGTCCGTCATAGTGGCTTGTCATTGACCTCGCCTTCTTGGTTTTGCCAGTGTCACGATGTTAGTCGTCGTGTTGCTTTTGTTATCGCTGTTCAGTTCGTCACTCAACCTCTCCACTGCGTCCATGGCACGGAGAGCGCCCTAGTAGGCGGACACGTCACGCCATGACAGCAACAAAACGATACTGTGTCAATCCGCCGCAAGCAGTACCGCTATATTGGTGGTGGGATCCCTCTGGAGAAGAAGAAACAGGCTGATCGGTGGAGGCGCAAAATGGCACAGAACCCACAGTTTTTTTTGTCACTTGCATATTCTGGAGCGAGGTCGGCCGGTTTTCTGCTCGCGCATACCTGTAAGGTTCTTTCCCAGCGCCAGTTCGTCTCCTCACCAGTCACCCGGCAAGTGTGTGCTTCCCAGTGTGTAGGTTTATTCTGAGTCGAGGGGATGAATTTCAAAACATCTAGCTATAGTTATATATCTATTTCTATTTTTAAACGCAACCCGGATGGTGTTGAATAATGTTGAAAGTGTTTGTTTTTGGAGGAATGAATGCTATCTACTCACTGGCCACGCATGTCATTTTGGCAATTTTTGTCGCCCAACACTCGATCCCCCGCACCTGTATAATTTAGGCCGTCGCGCAATTCATTGTGACTTTATAGGTGGTTCCCCTGGGGTCAAATCTGATGCTCTTGGAACATTTTGATTCCAGCCCCTATGTGCCGCGTGACAGGATTTGCCTCGCGTGACTTCCAGGGCTACCTCCCTGCACCATCTAAATAAAACAAGATGGAACCAACGAACCCGAATGCAAACACGGTCGAAAAACTACATATGTCCAAATGACACTCTTGTAGGACACTCTTGTGGGCCACTCTTCTGGGACACTCTTGTATGACACTCTTGTCGGACACTCTTGTGGGTCTCTCTTACGGGGCGCTCTTGTAGGACACTCTTGTGGGA